CTGCCCTCCAGATTTTTAGTTTGCTTTGTCTTAACTTGAAAGGCTTCCTTTTTTGGCCAAGTCAAAATGACGGAACCTCGTCATTCTCACATCAGGGGCTTCTGATAGCCATAAGGGCCTGGTGCACACACCGGCATGGCTTGGCTTGTGGTGCACCGGAAGCCTGCCCAAAATGTCCTCCTGAGGGCAAAGCGTGGCACATATAACACCTAAAAGAATAGCACTGGTGTCCTTTATCACTCAGTAATGCCTTTGTCCAGATGGCTCTGTCAGACTCGTCATTCCGGCAGGAGCCTGAGAGCAGAAGAGGGAGGTCAGCCCCAAATCAGAAGGGACCTGAACTCTACTCTCCATGGAAACACGTGAGGACGATATGAACAGGTGAGCTCCCTGGAGGATGTGACAGTTGAGTCAGGCCGTAGTGTGTAACCAGGTGTTCTGGAGCCAGAGAAGGGCCCAGATAGCCTAGCGCCTGCAACAGAGCAGACACACAAAAAAGTCTGTGAACGAAGGGGAGAAAAGGCGTTTCAGACAAAGAGAACAAGAGGACTGCAGGATCAAAACCCAAGAAGCTTGAACGCCGTGGATAAACTGGAGACTGCTCTGGCGTGGCTGCAGAACAGGTGCTTCTGGGCGTGCACAGAGGGTGACAGTGAGACAGGGCCTCCAGAAGCAGCAGGGCCGATCTCAGCTCTGTGATCTACCAGCGCTTGTGTTCATTTGCTTGTTCAGTGACACCAACCATAGTCACAGGGTCTAGTCTCTTTGTCTTCATGAAGGGAGTGGAGATCACTTGTGCAAACAGCACACTTTAATGGATGAAGAAACTGAGGCTCAGAGAAGGGAAGCCACTCACCCAAACTCGCAGAGCCAAGCAGTTGAGCTGGGAGTCTAACCAAGCTCATCTGATTCCAAGTCGAGGGCCCTAGTCATTGCCGTTAGGTGCCTGCCCCCCTGCTACTGAAGAAGATCCAGAGGGAGCAGCCATGGGAGGGTCTACCAGAGGCCAAGGCTGTGCCCCTGCTGCTACTTCTGTGGGTATCTTGACAGTCCCACTAAACAGGGCCTGGGGCTGACTTCTGATTTCATGCTCCCATCAGTGCCAGACCTGACTTAGTGGTTGGTTGGAGGAGTCAGGGGTTGGAGGACAGGAAGATTCCCAGTGACTTCCACTAATCAGATTGAATTTCATTTCTTACCAGGACCTATATACCTGTCCCTGAGGCCATGCTTCTTATTTTCCCTGGGCCAGTTTACAGAGAGCCAGGCCTACAGACTTATTACTTTCCACACATTTATTCATTTAAGACATGTTTATCAGGGCCAGGCACGGTGGCTCACGTCTGTAATCCTAGCACTTTGGGAGGCCGAGGTGAGTGGATCACCTGAGGTCAGGAGTTCAAGACCAGCCTGGCCATCATGGTGAAACCCCATCTTAAAAAAAAAAAGAAAGAAAAAAAGAAAAAAAAAAGAAATATTTATCAAACATTGTCTTAGTGTGGTCATGCCACTATAACAAAATACCACAGAATTGATAATTTATAAACAATAAAAATTTATTTCTCACAGTTCTGGAGGCTGGGAAGTCCAAGATCAAAGCACTAGCAAGTTCAAGTGCCCGATGAGGGCTGCTCTCTGCTTCCAAGATAGTGCCTTGTTGCTGCTTCCTCTGGAGGGAGGAAAGCTGTGTCTTCATATGGTGGAAGGTTTAGAAGGGGCAAACTTGCCCCCTCAAGCCCTTTCATAAGGCACCAACCCATTCAAAAGGGTGGAACCCTCATGGCCTAATTACCTCCTAAACCCCCACCTCATAATACTTGCACTGGGGATTAAGTTTCAACATGAATCTCAGAGGGGACACAAACACTCAATCTATAACAAACACCCGCCTCTTGCCAGGCACTGCGCTTATGCTAGTGATGCACGGTGATTCAGCACCTGCTTTGTAACAACCAAGTCCACCAGAGAAGATGGATGGTAAACAGATAGTCATGGCCACAGATCCAGAATCACAAAAGAAGACAAGAGCACCAAAGGAGAGCGGCACGATCCCAGGGGAGTGTTGAACACAGAACCTGGCTTGGGCTGGCATGGAGAATCTGGTCAGGAAGTCTTCCCTGACTCTGCTGGACAGAGCATAATACTCTTCTCCCCGGTCCCTTGCTCCTTGTTCTTCCTGACTCATTTCCAGCCCTTTCCTTCTTTAAGAAAACCAAAGAGAGTATTCTTTACTATCCCATGCCCACAGACGTGCAGATTCTACATCATTTCCCTCCTTTCAGAGTTCTGCCCCAAATTTTATGACCATGTGTCCACTCTTTCAGGTAGCCTAACTGACCCCAGCCCACCCCCAAAGCTGGGTCACTCTCTATTCTCCCACAACATCCTATGTTTCCTTCTGCCAACACATACATGACACGGCGTGGGGATTCCTCCTGATTCAGGTCTTCCCCCACCAGAGATGATCATCTAAGGCAAGGACTTGTTCTTTCACCTCTGTATCCCTAGCGTTCACCCCAGTGTCTCAGGGGGAAATCTTTGGAGAAATCCTTGATTTTTCCATTTCCACCTTCAAAATGTATTCATAGCCGGGCGCGGTGGCTCACGCCTGTAATCCCAGCACTTTGGGAGACCGAGGCGGGTGGATCACGAGGTCGAGAGATCGAGACCATCCTGGTCCACATGGTGAAACCCCGTCTATACTAAAAATACAAAAAAATTAGCTGGGCGTGGTGGCGCGTGCCTGTAATCCCAGCTACTCAGGAGGCTGAGGCAGGAGAATTGCCTGAACCCAGGAGGCGGAGGTCGCGGTGAGCCGAGATCGCGCCATTGCACTCCAGCCTGGGCAACAAGAGCGAAACTCCGTCTCAAAAAAAAAAAAAAAAAATGTATTCATAATCTGATCACCCCTTGTCAGCACCATTACCACTGCCCTAGTCCAGCCCCACTCCATCTCTGAAATGATATAGGGCTTCAGGTTCCAATATGGTTGCCATGAGCTATACATGACCACTGAGCATTTGAAACATGGCCATATAAACTATCTCAACAATAATTTTATATAGCTGAAGTGATAATATGTTGGTTCTATTAGGCTAACAAAGTATGTTATTAAAATTAATTTTCCCTTTATTTTTACTTTTCTAAATATGGTTACTAGTAAAGTTTAGGTTACACATACTATATTTCTCTTGGCTAGGGTTGCCCTGGGGAACTTCTTCTTAGCTGATCTCTTAGCCTCCATGCTGACCTGAGCCCTAAAATCTGTTCTCCACAAAAGCAGCCAAAGTCATCCTTGAAAGCATAAATGGAATCATCTCGCTCCCCTGGTCGAAGCCCCCCAGTGGCTCCTTAGCACATTTAGAATAAAGCCCAAGGTCTCCCCCATGGTCTATAAGCTGCTGTTATCTGCTTCCTGATATGTGCAGGCCCATATTACCCACCACTCCCCACTTCAGTCACTTTACTCCAGGTATACTGGCTTCTGGGCTACTCTTCGAGCAGATCAGGCATGTGCCCACCACGAGCCTTGGCTACTCACTGCCAGGAACTCTTGGCCCCTAGATATCTGCAAGTCATTCCTCTTCATGTCTTTCTGATTTCTGCTCAAATCTATACCCTTGTTGCAGGAGTGGACGTGGTAAACGGATCTCTCAGACACCAAATATTGGAGAAAGGAGTCTATTCGGCTGGGAGCCAGGTGGCATATTTGCCTAATAGCCAAGAGTGCCTAACAAAGGAAAGTTCCTTCTTTATATAGGCTTATACTTTAGCTGTTACACATGGAAGAATCTTAGGTTTATAGCTTAACATATGAAAAGGGTCTCAGTTTACAGTCTTAGGAATTACATATGAAAAGGGCCTCAGTTTACAGTCTTAGGAATTACATATGAAAGGGTCTCAGTTTACAGTCTTAGGAATTATATATGAAAAGCTCTCAGTTTACAGCCTTAGGAATTATATATGAAAAGCTCTCAGTTTACAGTCTTAGGAATTACATATGAAAAGGGTGTCAGTGTACAGTCTTAGGAATTACATATGAAAAGGGCCTCAGTTTACAGTCTTAGGAATTACATATGAAAGGGTTTCAGTTTACAGTCTTAGGAATTATATATGAAAAGCTCTCAGTTTACAGTCTTAGGAATTACATATGAAAAGTGTCTCAGTTTACAGTCCTAGGAATTACAGATGAAAAGGGTGTCAGTGTACAGTCTTAGGAATTACATATGAAAAGGGTCTCAGTTTACAGTCTTAGGAATTACACATGAAAAGGGCCCCAGTTTACAGTCTAAGGAATTACATATGAAAAGGGCTTCAGTTATGGTCTTAAGGAATGAAAAGGGGAAGTTTATAGTCTTAGGAATGAAAAGAGGAAGTTGATCTGAGATGCCTGGGTCTCCCTCTTCACCCTGACCATCCCATCTAAACCAACATCACCTTCCTTCCCGTTCCACCCCAACTCTACTTCTCTACTTTGGTTTTCTTCATGTAACTTATCATTAACTACTATTGTATCATATAATCTGATCATATCGTATCATATATATATATATATGTTTAAGGACAGGATCTTGCTATATCCCATGCTGAAATGCAATCAGTATTCACAAGCACAATCATAGCACACGATAGCCTCAAACTCTTGGACTCCAGTAATCCTCTTGTCCCAGCCTCCTGAGTATTGGAGCTACAGGAGCAAGCCATGAATATTTCTATTTGCTTGTCTATTCACTTATATTCTATCCCCTCCCCAATAATATGCAAGTTCTAAGGGGACAAGAATTTGGTGTCTTCAGTCTCTGATGCTCAGTGAACATTTGTTGAATGAATGAATACATGAATTAATAGTGGGCATTCAAACATGAAATAATTGTTGATCAAATGAACAAATGGAGCAAGAGTTCTAAGGGATCTAAATTAGGCTGCCAGAAGAGCAGGGTTAAGGTGTGATCAAGTTTGGGAACCACAGCATGGAAAGAAAAAAGTGCACAGACACTAGTCAGAACTTTTCGTGAGTACATTTATTAACTCTCACTCCCCTCAGGCAAGGCTGAGTTTTGGTGAGGGAAAGGAAAGGCCTTCAGAGAGCTTCCTACTCCTTGTGGGTATTCTCATGGGAAGCCTTCAGCACTCTGGCCACCAGGGATATGAATTCCTGGAAGCTGACTTGATCATCTTGATTAGCATCCAGGCCTTGGAATGTTTCGTCCACGGTAGCTTTATCTTTGGCATTCTAGGAGGAAAGGATAACAGAGACCTTGAGCTCAGAACCTCCCCACAAGACCCTTTCTTAGGCCTCTTACCCCTCAGAGCCCAGGTTAGGGAGACCCAGGCACATTAACTCATTAGCCAACACTGTGTTGGAGAATCCAATGGAACAAAACAGAAGATAAATGGTCGTGAATTACCCTGGATTTAACAAAAGGCTTGACCCAGAAGATACTCTTCAGCTCACTCATTCAGCCCCTCCCGTGCCCTGCCTCTCTCCATTTTACATATGAGGAAACAAACCCAGAGAGAAGGAAAACTGAATAGAGCCTTAAGTGAGTTATTGAGAGAGGGAAAGGCCCTCTCCCACAGCAGCGGGAGAGCATCCTTGGGCACTCACACCTGGGCCAACCCCACCCTAGTCCTTGTCCCACCAGGTCTTGCCACTCCCCTCAGTGCAGTGGCAGGGTGGGGGGGGGGGGTTAAAATGAGAGGGGCATCACCTACCTCGATGAGGTTTACAAGCTCCTTTGCCATCATCTTCTTCAGTTCACCCTTAGAGAGGGTGTCAGGATTCCCCGTCCGAACTGAGTATTGGTGGAAGATATTGACGATTCCCTCCAGGTGCTCCTCAAGTTTAGTCATCTTTTCAGCCTCACGTCAACCTTCAAGGAAACAAGGGAGGTCTAGCAGCAGTTTCTCCCCCACCCCTCAAGATCCAGTCTCCCCTCTCTTTCTGAATCAAGGGCCTAAAGAAAGCATAATAACCTCCATATCTATGTTGTGGTCTCTGCTCTGTTTGATCCAGGGTGAACTTCTCATTTGTAGATAGGATGAGGAAGAGAAAACATATAATACTGTCTAATATCTAAAAGAATCAGCCTCAGTTGCCCATGTTCCATACCCTCATCCACCAGGGAGCGTAACTTGGAGGGTATTGCTTACTCAAGCTCCCTTGGGAAGGGTTCTGTGCTTGGCCAGGCTGTTTGCTTCCCTCCGGTGATGGCACTATGGCCACATGTCCCTTACAAATGGTGCATAGCCCACCCGTGCTTAGCCATTCTTAAGTCATGGGGCTGAGTGTACCTAGCACAACAGCTGGCCTACTTGGGTCCAAAATGCAATGTCACCGCAGAGGTGCCCACGCAAGTGGAGGGCTGTGGCTTCCAACACCTTGTGATTTCAAAGTGGCCACCTGCAGCCACTACCCTGTGGATCCCCTAAGAACCCATCCAGGAAAAAGGCACTTACCCCTCAGTGCACAGGAATGTAGAGCTACAGCAAGAAGCTGGCAGCAGTGAAGGGTACTGAGCAAAGGAAGCTTTTATAATCAGTCCAGGCTTCATCTTCGCCCTTGGGTGAAGAAATTACTCTGATTCATCTTGAGGCAATTTATGTAAAGTACTCTGTTGCTCAAGAGAAGCTTCAAACCTGTGGCTTTGGCTGCCACAAAAGCAGTTCGGACCATCCTGCTCAGCCTGAAACAAAATCCCCCCTACCCCACCCACCCATACATGGGTGCCCTGCACATTTTTTAGCTCTGAGCCGGGGCTCAGCCTTCAGATTTAGCTCCGCTTCCCGGTTCCCTAATAAAAGACTAGGAGAACAAATTTTACTTCTTGGGTGTCTTGTTTTTGTTTTTGTTTTTGTTTTTTTGAGATGGAGTTTCGCTCTTGTTACCCAGGCTGGAGTGCAATGGTGCGATCTCAGCTCACCGCAACCTCCCCCTCCTGGATTCAGGCAATTCTCCTGCCTCAGACTCCTGAGTAGCTGGGATTACAGGCACGCGCCACCATGCCCAGCTCATTTTTTGTATTTTTAGTAGAGACAGGGTTTCATCATGTTGACCAGGATGGTCTCGATCTCGTGACCTCGTGATCCACCCGCCTCGGCCTCCCAAAGTGCTGGGATTACAGGCTTGAGCCACCGTGCCCGGCTGGCAACTCTCATTTTCATTGCAAAAGACTTCATTGACAGCACATTCAATAATAGACCAACAAGGGAGTTGCTATCTTTTGAACAGATGAATATATAAAAATCCCTTGCAATCCAGATAGTCAAGAGAATGCGTGCAGAAATATTCAATCCTCATTTTCCTGAAAACTTCTGCATTTTAAAAGGTGACTGGGCATACTTTGAAGTCCATACAAAGCAGCAGGATGTGCCTTGCAGGGAAAGAAGGAGGAAAACCCTTTTCCATGTCGTTAGGCAACTGTATCACAAATATATCCCAATTCCACTTGATAAAGTCAGTGGGACGACCCCCTTGAACCACTAGGGCAGAGCACTCGGTAAAAGTGGGCCCTGGGTGGGGATGTGGATCTAGAAGAGGAGCACCAGATCCCATGCAGTGCCAAACACATCCGTCCCACCCTCTAACACAGACAAGGCACGTCGCCCTCTGTCCCTGGAAAATAGATGCACAAGAACGGTCATCAGATGGTTACTGCTCCCAGTGCCTGGTGCTCTCTAATGATCTTAATTCAGGCCATGGAGAAAATCCTTTACCACCAAACGCAAACTGTCATGGAACTTAAGTCATAGAGGACAATATGGTGGAAATTCTTGTAACACATATATAAGGACTTCTATTTACTTAATGAGAACGATGATCACACAACTGGCATTCTTGTTTTCATAAGGTTTTGTTCTCTACGTTGGAATGGTTTAAGAAAACGTTGTCTATTTTTGGTTTTATGTGACACTTTCAAAAGAGAGGGAACAGAGAGAAAACGTGTACTGACTGCCCAACTTTGGGCCCCTGCAAGTACGAAGGCAGGCTTCTCTGACTCTAGGTCCATCTGGATTTGGGGGAAGTTTCAGTGTCTAGGAAAGGTTAGTGAAGTCCATTACACCCTCAGTCCTACAGAAAGAATTCTACAGCGAATCTATCACAGTGTTCTAGCAAAGCATATGTTGAAAACTACACGTTTCAACCTAACATCTAAATTTTAAAAAGTAGCATTTCAGCAACAAACAAACTCAGAGATCTCACCTCAACAGTGAAATAACAGAACTATTGCTCAGATGTCTGAAAAGTCAAGCTGCTGCTCTCAGCTCCGCCCACTTGAAGGCTTAGGCAGACCCGTAGGGTGGCGGAGGTTCCTTGGCAGCACCATACACAGTGGCATCATCATACAGGGGTAGCAGCACTGTAGTGTCATTGCTGGTAACATAAGCCAGGACATCGGAGGAGTTCCTGACATTGATGTAAAGGTAGCAGTTCCAAACACAGCTAACCAAGTAACCCTTAAAAGTCAGAATAATGCTAATACATAGAAGAATAATAAGGACCAAACAGGTAGGATTCACTGACATGACATCATCTCTGCAGGGAAAATTAAGAGGCAGTTGTCCTATGTATTCCTGAATGGAGTTTGGATAAACGAGCACAGTGATTGCAACCAAGGTGTTCAGAGCAAAATCAAAGCTCTTATAACAGAAGAATGGGATGATCCAGGCTGTGTGTTGTTTGTATGCTCCGTAATTAGTCATAGCACGTATCGGGATCATGAGAAGAGAAATCGCAATGGCAATGCACATGGTGGCATCATCCGCGAACTCAAAGTCACCTCCCACTTCAAGAACTTGGAAAGTGATACTGATCCGGATCAGCCAGGGCACTCAGTAAAAGCTGCAGTACCACGGCATTGATGATCAGGTACCAGACACCGAGCAGGATGGTGCCAACGCAGACACGGCAGCACAGGCAGCAGCTTTTGGAGTAGAACAGCGTCCAGGGCGCGACCATCATCACTCTGGGCGCGGTGGCGCGAGTGCGCGCGCGTTTCCAGGAGCGCGGACCACCTCGCCCCGCCCGCTGCGCCGCTGCTGCGGTGTCCTGAGCCTCTGCAGCTCTGGGCCGGCTCCCCAGTGCGCCCGCAGGCCTCGCTCTCTGATTCCCCCAAGAGGGAATTTTTTAACGCCAAATGCCTATATCAAGAAGATAATAATAGAAAGATCTCAAATTAACAACCCAGCCTCACAGCTAAAGGAATTAGGAAAACAAGAACAAACTAAACCCAAAGCTAGCAGAAGAAAAGGAATAACTAAAATAAGAGCAGAACTAAATGAATTGAGACCCAAAAAGCCATACAAAGGATCAGTGAAAGGAAAACTTGCTTTTTTTAAACGATAAACGAGACTGATAGACCATTAGCTAGATTAAGAGATCAAAGTAAGCACAATCAGAAATGATAACGGTGACATTACCATTGATTCCACAGAATTACAAGAGATGCTCAAAGATACGAACATCTGTATGCATACAAACTAGAAAATCTAGAGGAAATGAATACATTCCTGAAAACACACAGCCTCCCAAGATTGAGTCAAGAAGAAATAGAATTTCTGAACAGACCAATAACAAGGAATGAAATTGAATCAGTAATAAAACACCTAAGGACAACATCAACAAAAAATGACCCTGTATCAGATGGAATCATAGCCAAATTCTACTAGATCTACAAAGAAGAGCTGGTATCAAACCTAAAGAAATTATGGCAAAAAATTGAGAAGGAACTCCTCCCTAACTCATTCTATGAAACCAGCATCATCATGACACCAAAATCTCGCAAAGCCCCAACAAAAAGAAAAAGAAAAAGAAAAAGAAAACTACGAACCAATATCCCTGATGGACATAGACATAAAAATCTCCAGCAAAATACTAGAAAATCAAAAACAGCAGCATGTCAAAAAGTTAATTTCCCAATTAAGTGGGCTTCATTCCTGGGATGCAAGGATGGTTTGACATATGCAAATAAATACCTGTGATGCACTACATAAACAGAATTAAAAACAAAAACTATATGATCATCTCAATTGATGCAAAAAAAAGGCATTCCATAAAAATTGAACATTTCTTCCTGATAAAAGCTCTCAATAAACTAGGCATCAAAGGAACATACCTCAAAATAACAAGAGCCATCTATGACAAACCCACAGTTGACATCATACTGAATAAGCATAAGTTAAGTGCATTCTGCCTAAGAACTGGAACAAGACAAGGATATCTACTCTCACTATTCCTATTCAACATAGTTCTAAAAGTCCTAGCCAGAGCAATTAGGCATGAGAAAGAGATAAAATGCACCCAAATTGGAAAAAAGGAAGTCGAATGACCTCTCTTCACAGACAATATGATTCTATGTCCAGAAAACTCTAAGGATTCTGCCAAAAGACTCCTAGGCCTGATCAACAACTTCAGCAAAGTCTCAGAAAACAAAATAAACATACAAAAATCAGTAGCATTTCTGTATACCAAAAATATTCAAGCTGAGAACCAAATCAAAGATGCAATTCCATTCACAATAGCCACAAAAAAAAATTTTAAACCTAAGAAAACATCTAACCAGCGAGGTGAAAGACCTCTACAAGGAAAATTACAAAACTGTAGAAACCACTGAAATAAAGCCACATACCTACAACCAACTGATCTTGAACAAAGTTGGTAAAAATAAACAATAAGGAAAGGAAACCCTATTCAATAAATGATGCTGGGGACACTGACTAACCATATGCAGAAGAATGAAAAAGCTGGACCCCTACTTCTCACCCTTTACAAAAATTAACTCAAGATGGATTAAAGACTTAAATGTAAGACTTTAAACTACTAAAATCTTGGAAAAAACCTTGGAACTATTCTAGACATGTTCTAGGTAAAAAATTTATGATTAAGTCCTCAAAAGCAATACAACACAAATGAAAGTTGATATAGGACCTAATTAAACTAAAAAACTTCCACACAGTGAAAGAAACTAATAACGGAGTAAACAGACAATCTACAGAACGGTAGAAAATATTCACGAACTATGCATTTGACAAAGGGCTAATATCCAGAATCTACAGGAAATGCCAACAACTTAACAAAAAGAAAACAAATAACCCCTTTAAAAAGAGGGCAAAGGACATGAACCGACATTTCTCAAAAAAAGAAACACAAGTAGCCAACAAACATATGAAAAAACTAATCATCAGAGAGATGTGAGTCAAAACCACAGTCAAATATCACCTCACACCAGTCAGGATGACTATTATTTAAAAGTCAAAAAATAACAGATGTTGGCAAGGTTGCAGAGAAAAGCGAATGATTATACACTGTTTTTAGAAATGCAAATTAGTGTAGCAGTTTGGAGATTTCTCAAAGAACTAAAAATAGAATTGCCATTCAACCCCTCAATTCCATTACTGAGTATATACACAAAGGAAAAGACATCTGCACTCATATGTTTATCAAAGCACTATTCACAATAGCAAAGACATGGAATCCACCCAGGTACCTATCAATGGTGGAGTAGATAAAGAA